TGTGTGTGTGTGTGTGTGTGTGTGTGTGTGTGTGTGTGTGTGTGTGTGTCTGTCTGTCTGTCTGTCTGTCTGTCTGTCTGTCTGTCTGGGTGTTTTGCCTGTATATGTTATGTATACCATATTACTTCCTGGTCATGGTCAAACCCAGAAGAGGTTCAATAGTCCCCTGGATCTGGAGCTCCTGATGCTTGCTTGCTTGTCATGTAAGTGCTGAGAATTGAACTGTAATCTCCTGGAAGAGCTCCTGATGCTCTTATCCAACGAGCCATCTCCTAAGCACCAAAAATGTAGTATTTTCTTTTATCTTTAAGATTATAATATAAATCCACAATTTCTGCACGACAAACCTTCCCACATACCCCTTCTTATCTTAATTTTTAAGGAAGCCTCATTTATTAATTTTTTATTAATTAAATTTATTCATTTATTTTACATCCTGACCACAGTTTCCCTCCACTTTCTCCTCCCCTTTCCTCCCCCATCTCCCCTCTGCATGCCCCAACCCACTCCTCCTCTGCTTCTGTTCAGAAAGGGGCAGGCCTTCCATGGGTGTTAACAAAACATGGCATATCCAGTTGAGGTAGTACTAAGCTCCTCCCCTCATGTTAAGGCTTGGTAAGGCAACCCAGTATGAGGAGTAGGTACCCAAAAGCTTGCTAAAACATCAGGGACAGGCTCTGCTCCCATTGCTGGGAGTTCCACAAATGGACCAAACTACATAACTGTCATACATATACAGAGGGCCTAGATTGGTCTCATGTGGGCTCCTTAGCTGTCAGTCCAGTGACTGTGAGCTCCTATGAGTCCAGGTTAGCTGTCTCTGTGGGTTCCCTTGTGATTTGACAATTCCCCCCCTCCCCAGCTCATATAATCCTTTCTCTCTCCAGGATTCCTGGAGCTCAGTCCAGTGCTTGGCTGTGGATCTCTGCGTCTGTTTCCAGCAGTCACTGGATGAAGGTTTTTTAATGAATGACAATTAGGAATAATTACCGTAGTTACAATATGATTGCAGGAGATGACCAGGTCAGGCTACCTATCCACTATTGCTAGGAGTCTTACCTGGGGTCATCCTTGCAGATTTGTGGGAGTTTCCCTTGCACCAGGCTTCTACCTGACTTCCAAATGCCCCCATCAAACATCCCTTTCTTTACTCTCCTCCTCCATTCTGTGCCCAATCCAATTCCTCATGTTTACATCCCCACTCTCCCCCTGTTTACCCAGGAGATCTATTTCCCCTTCCTAGGAAAATCCGTGCGTCCCTCTTTGGACCTTCTTTGTTATATAGACTCTCTGGGTCTGTGGACTGTAGCATGGTTATCCTTTACACAACAGCTAATATCCACTTACGAATGAGTACACACCATGCTTGTCTTTCTGAGTCCGGGTTACCTCACTCAGGATGATCTTTTCTAGCTCCATGCATTTGCCATTTGCAAATTTCATGATGTCATTGTTCTTAAAAGCTGAGTAGTACTCCATTATGCAAAGGCACCATATTTTCTTTATTCGTTCTTTGGTTGAGGGCCATCTAGGTTGTTTCCAGGTTCTGGGTATTATGAATACCAAACATAGCTGAGGAAGTGTCCTTGTGGTGTGATGGAGCACCCCTGAAGGACTTTTTATTCATTTAGAAGCTATAGTTGGCTCAAAACTTAGAGCCCTGACAGGAAGAAGCAAGACTGTGAAAACTCTGAGCTCCATGGGGCTGCTGGAGAAAGAGCCACCTTTTCTCCAACAGAGGTGAAGTGTGGAGCCCTGATCTGAATTGGCCAAGAGCAGAAATGGACTTTCCTAAGTGCGTTGCAGGCTCATTGACCCACTTGATACACCATAGTTTATTTTTAGGCCAAGGAGTGCAGCCTCACTGTTAGTTCTAAGAGCACAGAATTTTCCATCTTGCCAACATCTGTGACTTAGGTCTCCTGATATTCACAAGGTGGGACACATTTCAACAGATTAAGTACCAAATTCTCCCCAGAATATACCGCCTTCTAGTAATGAAATGACTAAAATGTTGCATGATGGTCATATAAACTCTATTCACAATGGTAAGCTCCCAATGGATACAGCAAGCAGTGCCCATTGAATGATTGCCACTGGCCATGATAGCTACTGTCACATCTTCCAGGACTTCCAGCCTTGCTCAGGGTGACCTCCTTCCTCCCACTCTTAGCAGACATCCACTTTACCCCCGTAGCTGCAGACTCATTCTCTGTGACCACTTAGATTGCCATAGTGTGTTTGAGAGCACTGTGGCTCTTTTCTGCTGCCCCCCACAACTGCTTCATCCTGGGCTTTGCCTCCTCTGTGCATTAGTCTGAGGCAGTTTGCTGCAGGTGCAACCACTTTGCTTCTGACTTAGAGTTGCATCTTCCCTGACTTGTCACTTAAAATAGTATTTTATTATTATCTAACTCTTATTCTTCTCTCATACATTACATACTGACCACAATCTCCCCTCCTTCCCCTTCTCCCAGTCCCTACCTCCGCATTTCCTCTTCCCTAGATCAACTCCTCCATTTTCCCTTCAAAACAGATAAATGAATGAATGAATAAATGAATAAATAAATAAATAGAAAGAAATGAGTGGGCCTCCTAGAGATAGCCAACAAATACTGCCTAACAATTTGCAATAAGACCAAGAACAAATTCTCATATTACACCTAGATGTGGCAACCCAGTAAGAAGAAGGTAAAGGGTACCAAGCATAGGCAAAACAGAGTTACCCCCCTCCCCGGGCTCCCACTGTTGGTGAGAGCACCAAGCTACACATAAAGGATATGCAGAGGACTTAGCTTAGACGTCTATGGGGTCTGTATTTGTAGTTTAAGTTTCTCTGAGTCCCCATGAGCCCTGTTTAGTTGACTCTGTGGCCTGTGATTTCCTGGTATCCTCAACATCTCTGGCTAATACAATCCTTCCTACTGTCCCGTGCTACCATCTCGCCAGCAAGAACGACGCGGCACACTTAGGATCCTTCTGCAGAAAAGCTTTAATGCATCTTGAGAGAGAGAGAGCATAAGCTTCCAAAGCAGAGACCCAGAATGAGGGGAACCCATCCCTTATATAGGAAACAGTCCTCGCTTCGGACGTGTCACTCTTGGATTGGTCCGCTGCCCATCAACCCAGATGACACCACGGGAGTAGGCATGGACGCAGCAGTGGAAAGTTACCAAGCACATGCGCATTATAGTCCCATTGTCTCTGCCTTCCCAATGCTGGGATTAAAGGCGTGTGCTACAACACCTTGAACTCACAGAGATCTGTCTCTGCCTCCCAGGCATTGGGATTAAAGGTGTGTACTGCCACACCTTGAAGTCACAGAGGTCAACTACCTCTGTCCCTTAAAGTAATGGAGAATGTGGTTGCGGCCCTCCACATCCTCCTGTCTTCTGTGAAGCTCCCCAGCTCCACCTAGCGTATGACTGTGAGTCTCCATGTCTGCTCCCATCAATGGGTGCTCCTTGGATGACAATTGGGTAGGTGGACTTTTCTGTCCTGTCAGCCAGTTCCCAAATAACCACATTAATTATAAATGCTTGACTGAAATCTTCGACTTGTTTTTTCAGC